TATGATTTAAAACTGTACTTTTCTCTTTAAAAATGCCATGGAGAAGAACAGTTTCCAGTAGGAACTTTTTAAGTCAGTTGATCTTTAAAACTTAAGCATATGCAACTTAAGGATATGAACTCCAACAATACAAAACACTATCACAGAGATTCAAATTAAATATAAATATAGACAATTTACTGTAGCCGAAAAACTTACTATATATTATGAAACGAAGTGTTATACTCAACATCAGAAAACAGAAAAAATTACAGTTTGATACAAAAGTTCTTTACATTTTAATCATGTCTAAGCAATCAGTTAAGGGAACTTACCAATGAGGACACTCTTTGTCCAATTATTAAAGTTTCGGAGGTAGAATATGCGAGACTGGCTACGTTTTTCCAAACCAACTTCTTGAAGTTCATTATAATGTGCAGCTACAGCTTGCCCATGGCCAATCACATGCTGCAGAAAGGAAATCACACCACAGAAGATACAGTCTCAAGCAGTCAATTCTTTTTATGACTTAGTCATTTAATCAAAAGACACACATGTTCACTTCAAGGATTTAAGAAGGCAAACAAGCAATACTATGAAGAGCATCATCATTATAAAGAGATTTCCCATATCTGTCCTGGTAGTGATGTCAGTATTTCAATTATCACAGCAACACTCACAAACTTAATCCCCTTTTCAGTTTATTCAAGCAATTTCTGGATGATAGATACTGCCCAGCATCTTTCCTTCACAGAAATACTTTCAGTTCTCTAACACTCTCAACCATGCTCAAAGAACACATTTCATTCTTCTTAAGTCTGGGACAGAAGTAAAGGATGTTCCTTCTCAAGGCACTTTGAGCCTCTTCAAAGACCCTGTTTCAGAATTTCAGTGTTTTCATCTGACAGAAGTGTATAAACTGCCAATTTAACCAAAAGGCCAACTGCCTGATGTCACATTAAGGTCCAAGTGGATGACCCCACTGCCAGAGATTTAAACAGACCATGATAAAGGAATGAGAGGAATCATTTGACAACATATTCCATATAATGCTTAAGAGGTAGTTGTAGAAATGTCTCTGATTTAGCTTTAACTCAAAATACTCCAAGAGATTTCTGTCCAGCCTTAGCTTTAAGTACTACAAGACAGTACTCTCCCCTGTTACACAGAGAAGCCGTCTACATACAGATATTATGCTCCCATACAGATATTATGCTTCATATATATGCTCCCATATACATGAAGTGAAAATAAATTATAAGTAAAACCCAAAGTAACAGAACAGACACAACCACAACCAGCACCGACTCTATGAGGTACAAAAGCATTTGAAATAACAGTACAAACCAGAATGAAGCCATTAAAAGCATTCCTAACAGCTCACTACAGAAGTCAATATTCCTGCATCTTGCTAATCAAATAGCAGTTCCTCAAGGGAAAAGAAGGTTTGGCTGATAGAGGTGAATTCTTCAGTGTTTCATATACTTCTGGAAACATTCAGAATGAACACAGCCTTACTTGTCTGTGAAATCTTCATAACCTCCTCACCTGTTTATTACCACACTGGGCTGACTGATACTACCAAGTATTTTGACGACTTCTATTCTTTTCCAGGGTAAGCACAGATGGCTCCCTGAATAGCCACCGAAGGCAACAGAAGCTAGAACAGCTGACACAGACAAGTGTGGGGGACATGCTCATACAAACCATTAGCACATCTCAGCTGCAAACAGCCATCAGCAACATCTAGATGGTGGCACTTATGCTCAGTCACCTCTCTCCATCCTTAGGCTACACAAACCCAAGGTAGTTCTTGCTCATCTAAGCCTTATTCTCCCTTATTAAAAGGATGAAAGGGTTAATAATGTTTCTACCACAACAAAGGACACCCTTTATTTTGCCAGACTGCAAAGGCATATATTAACACACGGAGAAAATTCTGGGCAGATAAACAAAACTCTAGGTCAGACATTTTCAAATTATATTTAAATATCCTGAAAGGATGACCTAGAGTGGATATTAAAGCATCAGCTTCTACAAGCTCATACATAATAAAGGACAGCATCATGTAAAACATTACCCTTTTCACCCTCCCAGGTGGACATATAAAAGGACATACATTTTCTGCTGCTTTTGAAGTCTTAAAATACAAAGAAGCACCTGTAAGTCTTTCACTGCTTCACTTTGCCAACATATCATACTGAAATTATATCACAGAGGATGCGGTCTGTTGAGTTTTGCAAACTACACAGTACCTTACCAAGGAAATAAAAGGACAAAATTACCTTATGGAAGAACTTCCCAAGCACAGGTAACTAGACTAACACACAGATAAACAACATACATGAGAACTGAGTTCAAGATATGGAACCTGGACTAATGCCAGTAAACCCTACACTACACTACCAGATTGCTACCACAAGGAGGATGGAACAGTCTTAGAATTAGACTAAGTATGTGCTGAGATGATCATCCTAACTGCAAGGCCTCTTGCTCCTCTGTGAAGCCCAACATCATTGTGCACCTGTTACTTCCCTAGGAAACATTTCCATACTTGTTTTGTGCTGGCTCACAGGCATCTACCATAAATATTTTCAATTTTTTTCTTGAGCTAAGGCTTTGAAACAAGGATTTGAAAACAGCTCAAAATAAATGATACTCACTGCTTTCTTAGCAGGTTCATCTTCAGAATCTAAATTCTTCCTCTTTGCTCTGCCATCCTGACCACCACCATCAACTTCTTTGTCATTTTCAGTGGACTGCTCTGTACCTGAAGCAGAAGTATTGCCTTCACACCCAACACCTGAAGCTGACTCTAAAGCAGGAGGGGTTTTCTCCACTTCTTCATTTAAATTCTTCTCTACTTGCTGCTCTTCTGTCTTGGTTACTTCAGCCATTTTGACTGGTCCACTGATCAGAATGGATATCTAGAGGGAAAAGAAACAAACCACCAAGAATTTTCAGTGCTGAAAATTTCACTTACTTGTGGTTACAATCGTGACCTTCAAACATAATATTGGTATTTCACCCTAGACAACATCTAGACTTCAAATTTGACCAGCTGTTTAATAAAGGCAGCTCAATAAAACATGTGGAACTTAAAAGTACTCATTAGATAAGTTCAAATTAAGATAAATTGTTACTTTTCATTTTAGAGTCATCTTACAAATCTTTATTGACTCAACTGCCAAATATTATTTGTTTTTTTCTTTTCCTTCCCGTAAAGGGTAACCTACAAATCAGTTTATGTTTAGAAACACAGAGAGATTCTCTCAAATTAGTAGATTTGTTATTTAAACTGATATGCTTTGAAACTGATGTCTTCAAATAGAAGATCAAGATGGGTTTTTATGAGCAAATTTTCTTACCAGTTGTGGATTTTCCAGTTCGCCAGGAATATCCACTATGCTCTGAGCTTAACTAAGATGTGGAATATTCAGTTGCACCTGTATTTCCACATCTGCACCTCACAAATATCAACAGGGGCTGCAGGACTGCAAACAACTCCTACAAAGCTCACTTGGTCTCCAGCACATCCCAGCCTTCTTTACACTAGCACTAGGAAGCAGAGCACCTACTTTTTAACAAGGCATGGGAGAGGGCAATTTGGCACCCCCTGTTCTGAAAGAGTGGCCTAAAGCACCAAAAAAAAAAAAAATAAAATCCAAAAATCACATTTAAACGCCCCGTATCCAGGCTCACCTCCTAATGAGGGCCGGAACACATCCAGTGAATGGACCACCACACAGAAGCACCAGAGCAGCTTTCCTCGGAACAAATGGCCTCAAAGTACGACTTAGAAAAATAATTCTTCCACTACTGCACAGCACCACAGCACTTGGTTTGCGAAGCAGGAGCAGACCCCTCGTTATCCTCACCGGGCTATTCCAAGATGTTTCGAAAGCCCTAATTGTGAAACGATCCGACTTTCACAGCTAGCGATAGCAACCAGAGGAAGCAGCAGCAGCTCCTTCAGCCGGAGAGCTCAAAACGCCTGCAGTGATGTGGGAATGGCCCCGCCGGCCTCGGGACGCTCCCGCCCCCTCCTTTCTGCCTTCCCTCCTTCCCTTCCCCCATGACGGGGCTGGGAGGCCTCAGGGCCTCCGCTCCCGTTAACCGGGCGGCGGCGCCCGTGGCTTCTCTGCGGCCCGCCCGGCCCCGCTGTCCGGCGAGGCCGAGAGCTTCGGCCGGGCCGCCGGTCCGCCCGCGGGCAGGGAAGGCGGCCCTGCACGGCCCCGGCCCGGCACTCACCCGGCTCAGCGCTCCGCCATCCCTGTTTGTGGAAGTGACGGACCCCCACGGCGGCGTCACGTCCTGGGAGGGACCGCGGGGAAAGGGAGCGGGAAAACGCGGCGGCGCGCGGAGTCCTGTGAGGAGCGGCTGGGGCTGCTTAGCCTGGAGAAGGGGAGGTCTCGGGGGGACCTTATCGCTCTCTACAACTGCCTGACTGGAGGGCGTAGTGAGCTGGGACCAGCTTCTTCCAGCGTGCCAGCTCTGGGAGAGGGGAAATTTCGATTACATACTAGAACAAGTTTTTCACTGTGAGGATGCTCAGGCGTTGGAATAGGTTGCGCAGGGAGGTGGTGGAGTCGCCCTCCCTGGAGGTGTTTAAGAGACGCCTGGCCCTTGCGCCGGGTGATTTGGGTTAGGGGGTCACAGTGGCAGTGCCAGACTGACGATTGGGCAGGGTGGTCTTAAAGGTCACTTCCAAACTTGGGTCTGTGAAAGGTGGCTGTGTCTCAGCAGGGGCAGAGGAACTACGAGTCCCAGGGGGCCGTGCGAGAGGGGGGCGGTGCTCGCGCCTGCGCAGTGGGAGGGCGCCGCCGGGCCTGAAGGTGATGGTGGGGACGGGCGCCGCCGCACGTTGCGCGGGGCGGGCGGGGAGCGCAGGGGGGTGGGCGTGACGGGAGCGGCCGTTGGTGCCACCGGCGCGTGCCCGAGGCGCGCGGGCCCCTGAGGAGCGGCGCAGGCCCGGCACGAGGTACCCGCGCGGCGGGGGCGGGAGCGGCGGGACCCGCGGGATCGGGAGGGATCCCCCTCCGCCCCGGCTTGTGGGGGGATTGGGCTGCTGGCGCCTTCCTCCCGGCTGCCTTCCCTTGGACCAGTCCGCCTTGCCCGGCGCTGAAGGATGTCGGCCGCGACCCAAGAAAGCGGGGTGGAAAGAGAGATCTCCTGGTAGGGAGGTGACGCTGGATGGGCCTGGGTGTTCCGCGGTGGGCTGCTGTTGCAGCATCTGGGTGGACAGGAAGGGATTTGGGGGTGGGAGCTCAGGCTGTGACTTTTTTTACGAAGGGCAGCGGCGATCCCGGCCCCCCGGTGCCCAGTGACAGGAGCCAAGGGAACGGCACGAAACTGTGTCAGGGGAAGTTTAGGCTGGATGTCAGGCGAAGGTTCTTCACCCAGAGGATGGCTGGGCACTGGAGCAGCCTCCCCAGGGAAGTGGTCACAGCACCAGCCTGGCAGAGCTCAGGCGTTTGGCCACAGTCTCAATCACAAGGTGTGATTCTTGGGATGTCCTGTGCAGGGCCAGGAGTTGGCCGTGCAGAGGACATCGATGATCCTGATGGACCCCTTCCAAGTCAGCATATTCCGTGGTTCTATGTTACCACTGAAGGACCGCGGGTGGCTTATGCCCCTTAAGGGGGTTCTTTTTCTAGACATGCCTGTGTCTTGTCCTTTCAGAAAGCTTGAAGTGACTGTACAAATGTTTTATTGTCCCCTGTTATGTTTCTCATTAGTAATCCGCTCGTGTTAATTAAATATATCCAGGGAGTCAGAGAAGTCATCAGAATTTTTGTTAAGGCTGTTAAGTGAAACATGGATCTATGTCAGCTATTACAAACTACTTCAGCCTCACTAATGTCTATTAACAAAATTCCCTCTACCAACTGTCCTGAAAAAGAAAACTTAACATTGGACAGCAGTACATGAAGTCTCCTAGAATTCCTTACCAAAGCCAGTTCTTAAACTGAAAGTGTTCTTCAGCTTACCCCAAGGTGTCATTGCTGGTACAAGTATAAACATAAAATGGTTTGCCAAAGTTTTGCTGCTTTGGGAAGAGATAGGGTGCAGGTTCCTCATTTGGAATGTGTTTTGCTGCCTGTGCTTATGTGACTTGCAGCTGTTTCAGTGTGGGAATTGCATGCACAGAGGATAGTATGTCCCCACTGTCCATCTCCATGGAGGTGGGGTGACAGCAGGTGTTGATCTCCTTTTCTGTTTAATGGCTGTTTGAGGTAAAAAAGGCACGACTGACCCTTGTGGCAGCGTTACTGAATTGCACTCACTGTCTAAAAGGCACTTCCATCAGGGAATAAAAAAAAGAAATCATTTGGTGATTTGGGTAGGTGGATATCAGGTGGCTTCCACATGGCAAAAACTGAGTAGATAAATTCAGACTGTTAAGGAGTCTGTAAGGAATGTAAGAAGTTAAAGACTTGTCTGGTGTGACTGTGTGCAGGTCTGCTTCACAGGCTATAGCAGCTGCAAGAAAAGTTTTGATCTGGTTTGGTTTCTAAAAGATTCTGTGTAGTTCTCCTGCTGTAGATGGTCTTTTCTGCAGGTAAACCACCCCACCTCTTGTGTATGCTCATAGGTATCACTTGGAAACTGAAGTGTGGTGTTTTTGCAGGACGGGATTCTTGATGTCCCCTAATGTCAGATAAGAGCCCTCAGTTTGCATCTTGGCACATTTCTGGATCTGCAGGGAGTTTTTTCTAGTCTTGAAGACAAGGGCATGAGAAATTCAACAACAAGAGCAGGAAGAACACTGATTTTTAAAAATGTAAAACTGCTAATGGAATCTCAGCAAATTCCTTGTAATCAGTTTAGTCCTGCAGGCTGGAAAGACAATCCAACATAGTTCTTTTTGGTGTTAAATCAGATAGCTGAAGATGAACTTATTTTCAAAATTAGATGCTGAAGCAAATTCATAATCATCAATATTTCAGTATTAGGAATGGAATGAAATCACTGAAAGGACTGAGACCTGGGCCCAAAACCTGCTGGGAATCTTCCTGGACAGCCAGATGTCATCAGAATGGATCATAAGGATTTAACCTTGATATGCTGATAGGTAACTACCCAGTTCCATCACTTTAGATCAGGGATCAAACTCAGGGTCAGAGATTCTTAATGACTATTATGTCATGGTATGCCCCTGGTAGATTTTTTTACTTGAGAGGAATGGATTGTGCAGTGGGACAATAACAACAACAAAAAAGAGCACTGTTTAAGTTACAGAACTTTTTCCTAATTTTTGAGTTTTGAATTGTGACACCTCTAAAAAACACACATTATTCTTTTTGTCCCTGACAGTATAATTCCAGTGAGAGTAAAATGTTATTATTCAGTTAAAAAATCCTTATGATCTATTCTGATGACACCTGTGATTCTATTTTCATAAATTTAGTTGAGTCTTGAAGGTACCAGTACAGGTGTGTTAAGTCCAACACGCTTTGTCCATATTAAATTTTGTCCAGAAAATTGTGATTTAAGCAGGTGCTGACAGGCAAGAGTGGTGTGCCTACCTAGGACTTTTTGTCTGGTAAAGACTGAAGCCACATCTTCTTTTAGGCATTGGCATTACACAGTAGGATTTACTGTTTGGAACTTTGTGCTTCCTCTAAAAATCTCCAACCCTTTGTAGCCCAGTGCCTTCCATCACTCAGTTTTCCTCTCATCCTCTTCAAACGAGCCACATTTTTTGTTATGTTTCCAGACATGACCCTGCCCCTTGGAAATAAATTCATCTGGATGGTAAAGCTCTGTTTGTTCACATCAGGAAATGAAAGGGACACTTAGATGGGCTATAAATTTTAATTCCTTGCATCTCCTGTTTTATCTTGTCCTGAGAATTGACCTTGATCCTGTGTAACAGTTCTTATGTAAACCAAACAAGTTGTGTGGCTGTGATTGTGGCTTTGTAGAACATTGCAGCAGATATCCCCTGCAGCTCTTTAGGACTTGCCATGTCCTTGAGGAGAGGGATGGAGCAAGGGAGCGGTTGTTAATACAGTCAGGTGCTCATAAAAAATTATAAAACAAATCAATAACTTTTTTTCCAATGGATTAATTTTGTGGGTTGGAAATAAAAATGCAGCGAGTCTCTTCCAAAAGTGGCTGGTGAAAGATTTTAGTAAAACGTGACAGCACTTACCTTTAACTGCAGTGGTAGTGCTTAGCCCCAGCGTGAACCAGGCAGTTAACTATTCTCTCTTAATATTTTGTGAATTGGAAAACTGGCTTTACTGATGTTAAAATTAGATGGCAACCTTTGCTTCCTGCTGTCTCAGGCCATAGGACAGTACTTTCTGATGAGAGATCTTTCTGTGCTGAGCCACAAGCCTTGGGCCTTGTTGGTGACATCTGGCAGAAAGCGTGCTTGCAAAGGCTGCAGTGTTGCAGTCACAGGATTCCTTTCCCAATCTGAATACAGCAGTGTTGTAATGCTGCTGCTTCAGACTGTGAATAGGAATGTTATTAGGGTTCTAATACTAAAGTCTCATCAGAGCTCCTTCTGGTGTAAAGACACAGCTCTCTAATCTGATGCACTTTCAGACACTTGGAGATGGTGTAATTTTGTTGTTTGCATGCCTCTGTGCAAGAAATGCTGTGTAAGGCAATAAACTTGAATAATGGGCAAGAAGGTGTAGCCACTCAGGTACCAAGACCTTAATAAAAATAATATTTCTTTTATAAGAATTGTTCACGTTCATTTGTAGAGATGTTGGGAATAGCGTTTACTGAAAATTAGATGAAGACTGGTTTTGAGTGTGTGTGTGTTGTAAATGTTATGATCAGCCTCTTCACACATAATTTTTCAAGATATTCTGATTGATACTGCACATATTTCCCCATATGGAGAAATTTGAATTCACAACAGAGAATTCAGCACTTACTTTGAATATTTAGAAAAGATTTGTACTGGAAGTGAATGTCTGCCAACAGTAATTCTGCTGAAAGATGAACGTTCTGTATTTTTTGCTGGGAAAAATGACAGCTTTTCAGTGTTTGAAAGTGTGAAATAAATGTGGTGAGAGAATAAAAGAAAAAATCTTGAACCCAATGCTTCCACTGTGAATTCTGTTTTTACGGAAGCTGGGATGTTTTTTTTCCAGTTTCACGCTGGTTTACTTTTATTCCTACTTTGTTTCTAATTGTAAGGCTCCAGAGTTCTTCCTTGAGAATGTTTTCTGGGCATCTTTAGAAGCATTTTGGGTGAATTTGATGAGTAAAAGACTTGGTACTTAGAGCTTGTTAAGTGTCTTATAAAATTATTACATAATATAATTTGCCCTTAATGTATTATTACAGATAGTACTGTTGCTTGCTGTTGAGTTATGGAGAGAAGAAACAACAATGAGGCAAGACCTATAAAGATCCAAGGTGGCAAAAATGGAATTTATCAAGGCTAGAAATGAAACAGGTTTGGTAGTCACTGTGGAAGGTGGGGCAGAAGGCTGTACAAAGCTGATTCTAAGATCAAAGTTTAAGTATATTCCTAATAAATGCCTTTTATAATTAGTCATGATAAAGTATTTGAATATCTAAGATTGTATTCTGTAGTTTGGTGTGGTAGTTTGACTCTGGCTGGATGTCAGGTGCCCACCAAAGCTGCTCTACCCCTCCCCTCCTCAGCTGGCCAGGGAAAAGAAAATACAATGAAAGGCCCTTGAGTTGAGGTAAGGGCAGGGAGAGATCAGTCATCGCTTGCTGTCATGGGCAAAACGGACCCAGTGTAGGGAAATTGATTGAGTTTATTACCAGTCAAATCAGAGTACGGAAATGAGAGGTGAAACAAATCCTAACATTTCTTCCTGGCACTCCTCCTTCCTTACTGGGTTTAACTGTACTCCCAGTTCTCTCCCTGCTCTTCCTCTCAGTGGCACAGGAGGACAGGGAAGGGGGTTACAATCCATTCCTCATGTGTTTTCTCTGCCACTGCTTCCTCCACAGGGGGAAAATTCTTCCCCTGCTGCAGCAGGAGGTCCCTCCCATGGCAGACAGTCTTCCACAAACCTCTCCAACATGAATTCTTTCCATGAGCTGTAGTTCTTCATTAACTGCTCTGGTGTGGGTCATTTTCCACTGTGTGCAGTCCTCCAGGAGTAGCCCATTCCAGCAGGATCCCCTATGGAATCACAAGTCCTCTCAGCTAACCTGCTCTAGCATGG